CAGAAAAAGACCCGCCCCCTTGCAGCCGGGTGGCCAACGCCTTGGCCTGGGGCCGCCTGGAAGACCGCGGGCTCCGGGACTGTAGGACCTTGCAGGCTGTGCCCCACCAATTGTCACCCCAGCCCGTTTCCCTGCAGACCTTGGCCTCCACGGGCATTGTTCCCTGCGGTGGACGCACTCTGACCCGGGTTGTATCTCTCTCTGGAGACTTTGTGCCTATGGTGGCTGACCGAGTGAGGTCGTTGCCTTGACGACGACAGCATGCGGTCCGCGGTCCTCCAAAGAGTGAGCCTGCGGCGGCCCGAGGCCCATCTGCCTCCCTGTCGCCTTTACCTGGGACCCTTGGCTATGTCGGTGGAAGACATCGCCAGCGTGCTGGAACCGCGGCTAGTTTGCTAGTCAGCGTCATTTTGACCTGCGGGCAAGATGCATTTCACTTCAAATTTATTTCCAAGTTGAAAACCTTTGGGTGTGCCCATGTGAAGGATTTTAAAGAAACAGTAAGTATATGGCTCAAAAAGAAAAGAAAAAGCTGCTGTCATTTCGTTTTAGATTTGGCTTTTAATCTGTCTTTAATGAAGCAATAAAAAACCCCCAACACCACTATGTTATCCAAGTATATTGTATCATCCAAAAATGTCATGTTGGTAACTGAAGCCTCCTCTGCTTACTTGGCAGATTTCCAGAAATAAAACATTTCAAATTAGCCAGATATCTGCCCAGAAAGACTTTTCACATTAGTCAGGTATCTGTTTAATTTATAGTATTTCTTAGATTCAAGAGTAGAAGGCATGCAGAGTTGAAGTTTATGAGTAACTGATTTAGGAGACAAAGGGTTTGCACACCTTGATACTTTTCAGGTGTTTGTGGACTGTGCCCTAGGTAAGAGTAGGAGTGTTTAAACCAGTGTCCAAATTGCTGAGAGCATAAATTTGGAGGAACCAAATAGCATAATGCTTTATTTTAGGAGAGTTTGATTTGCGTTCACTTTGCATTTGTCAGATATTGACGACACCCTTGCAAAATGTTTTAAAATGATCAGTATTCGAGTTCCAGTTATTTTTGTCCTCGGTGTAATCAGCTTAATCTTTTGCCAGTGGGATGGATTCTGATCTTTGGTGACCCCATAGAGCAGAGGTGAACAAGTCCTGAGGGATTTCCAAAGTTGTAACCCTTTTCTCCAGTGGAGCCTGGTGGCCTAAAACTGCTCGGCTTTCTGATTATGAGCAAAGTGCTTATTTGCTGCACTACCCGAGCTCCCTATCTAGAGCTTAGTCTTAAAATCCCAAATACTGTCTTATTGGAAGAAAGAAATGGAGGAAATAGGAATTAGAATGATATTGAAGCATTATTAGGGTTTTCTCCCCTCTATACCCATATTTTATGAAAAACTCAATACCAAATGTTAAAATGTAAAAATATGTGGAATAGTGTTTGAGCATACTGGTCTGGAAATAAGCCAAGTTAGAATCTACTGTCAACCTACTAGTAAAATAAGAAAAGGGAGTTCTGGTGGCCTAGTGGTAAGAACCTGTGCTGCAATCCCAAGTGCATGTGGTTCTTTGAATTGGGGTTGATTGCGATTGCTTTTATTTTTTCTGCACAGAAGATCAGCTTCTGGTTCTGCATTTATATTGACATTAAAAAAAGAAAAAAAGAAAGAAACATAACCTCCAAACTATTAGATGTTAGGTGTTGAAAAATGAATAGTGTACATTTTTCTAGAAGAAATTATTTTATGTTTGCCATCACTGAACCAATAGAGAAGAAAATAAAACATCATTATCGTTGACAAAAATCTGTTAAACTGTTTTAAGATTCCCATAAACACATTGTTAATAGGTGAGAATATATCTTCAGCTTTCAGTTTTGTGAGTGAGTATTTGGAACAATACTGGAATTTATAGCAGTATATTTTACTATTTTATTCTCAGGCTCAATTTCAAAATCAGATTAAAAGAATACATTTAGTTTTGAAGTTTAAAAGGTTTTCATATTGTGACAATATTATTATTAAGTAAAATCTTTATTTGGGCTGAAATAACTTTATTAAAATATATAATGGAATAACTGCTTGGCTTTCGTCAATCATTGTTGTTATGTACCACTGGCCTTCCAGCAGGTTTTCAGAGATGGTTAATCACATGTATTTCTCCTGCGGAGCAGTTGGTGAATTTGAACTGTGTGCCTTTGGGTTGTTGGTGCAACCATGTACCACTAAGTCACCAGAGTTTGTTGTCAACATTAGTAAAATAAAATTCTATTTAAGATTGCTTTTGTCTGAAAAGCACAACCTAAACAGATGAAGTGGGAGGATATAAAGAATATTATCCATGAAGAATGCGAAAGGTCATTACAAAGCAGGAAGACCAGGATGTATGTTAGAAGATACTCTGAATACTGCACTAGAGTGCAGAGAAGGCAAAGCAAAGGAAAAAAATCAAGACGTTAAGGAACTGAACAGAAGACTTCCAAAAGCAGCTTGGGAAGACAAAATGAAGTATTATAAAGAAATGTCAAAGAGTTAGAGTTGAAAAATCAAAAGGGTCGAACTCGCTTATCATTTCTTAAGCTGAGGGAACTGAAGAACAAATTCAAGCCTCAAATTGCAATACTAATGGGCAGAATATTGAATAATCTAGGAAGCATTAAAAGAAGATGGAGGGAGTACACAGAGTCCCTATACCAAAAAGAACTGGCTGACACAGAAGTATTTAATGAAACAACTTATGGTTAAGAGGCCAATGGTAATGAATGAGGAAGTCCAAACTGCTCTGAAGGAACTGGCAAAAAACAAGGCCCCAGAAATTGATGGAATACCTATTGAAATATTTCAATAAACAGATGCAACCCTGGAAGTGCTCATCAGGTTGTGCCAAGGAATCTGGAGGACAACCACCTGGCCAACTGACTGAAAGAGACCCGTGTTTATTCTTGTTCCAAAAAAAGGTGATCTAGCAGAGTGTGGAAATTATCAAACAGTATCACTAGTATCACATGAAAGTACAATTCTGCTGAAGATTATCCAAAAGCGACAGGAAAAGTGCATCAACAGAGAATTACCAGAAATATAAGCTGGATTTAAAAGAGGCCATGGCACTAGGGACAACATTGCCAATGTCAGATGGATCTAGGCAGAAATGACTATGCAAAGGTATTTGACTGTATGGATCACCACAAATGGTGGCTAACCTTGAGAAGAATGGGAATCCCAGAACACCTTGTGTTCATGTGAAACCTATACTTGGACCAGGAGGCAGTCCAAAAAAAGCAAGGAAATGCTGCATGGTTCAAAATCAGCAAATGAGTATATCATGGATGTATCCTGTCTTCACACCTTTTTAATCTGTATGCATACCAGATCATTCAAGAGGCTGGACTTTATGAGGAGGAGTATGGGATCAAGATTGGAGGAAGACTCATCAACAATCTGTGTTATGTAGATGATCTTACTTGCTCAAACTGAGAAGGGCTCAGTTTGAAGAGGGCTCAAACTGAAGCTCTTGCTGCGGAGAATCAAGGACTGTAGTCTACAATATGGATTGAAGTTTGATGTCAAGAAAATAAAGATTCTTACCACTGGGCCAATTGGTAGCGTCATGATAGGAGAAGAGATTGAGATTGTTAACAATTTCAGCTTGCTAGGTTCCACAGTCAACACTCTTGGCACCAGCAGTCAGAAAATAAAAAACCCAAAAAACAAACCCTAACTAATTGCATTAGGAAAATTTGCTGTCCAGGGACCTCTCTGGTGTGCTGAAGGGCAAGGATGTCAGTCTAGAGATTAAGATGCACCTGATCTAGGCCATGGTCTTTTCAATTACTTGCTATGCATCGTAGATCTGGCAATGACCAAGAATTGATCCCTTTAAGTTGTGGTGCTGAAGAAGAGTATTGAAAATATCATGGACTGCCAAGAGAACAGGTCTGTTTGTCCTGGAGAGGGTGAAACCAAGTTCTTTGGAGACAAGGATTTTGAGACTTCATCTCACACACTTTGGTCATGTAGTCAGGTGGGACCAGGCTTTGGAGAAGCATATCATGCTTGAGAGGGCCGAGGAACAACACAGGAAAGGAAGACCCTGGTTGAGATGGATTGACACAATAACTGGAGTAATGAGGGCAGGTGTGTAAGAGACAGTGAGATTGGCTCAGGATAGAGCAGAGTTCAGAGCTATCATGCATACGGTTGCTATGAGTCGTAGTTGACTTGACAGTACATAACAACAACAACAACAAAGGAATATGGAAGATTTTTAAACATGAAATTAAAATATTCCTGATTATTATGAATAATAAGCAGGATTTTTGAAATTGGAAAGTACTAATATTTAATTTATTTTAAAAACTCTGCTTATATACTCTGATGCCATTCCTGCTATGCTTACATTTAGTATAACAATATAATGAGTCTCATTTTAAGAAAAGGAAAACTGTTTACTCAAAGATCCTTAGTGTTAATTTGATAAGTGATGATTTTATCAACAAATATTTTTCCCTGTTGAGTGGAAAACGGAGAAAATAGAAATAATAAAGGTTTTCAATTTTCATTTTAAAACTACTGTAAGACAATATATTTGATCTTAATTAAAGAAAAATCCAATTGTTTCTTTTTTAACCTTTGAGAGAAAAGGAGCTGTAATTTTCTGAAGTTAACTGTATGTACTTGATATTGATAGTTTTGTGAGTATTGCTTTAGAGTTACTGGATTTTATTAACATACATTTAGTAATTTATGTTTAAAATCAGTGGCTTCAATTCCATTTGCCTTATTTTTTATTAAATGTGTATGAATATTTTGAAAACATATTTAGATCTCAAAGTGATTAAGAAGTTGTGAGAGGACAGCAATCCACACGTGACTACTCTGAATATGGAAAATGATTGGGGAAGAATTAATTTGCAGCGAGAGAGGAGGAAGTGAATATACTCTGTCTACCTTGTTAACTCTGTGTTTTGGTTTCCACAGTAAGAAAAATTCCTATTGGTTTTATATTAAAATGGAAAAATATGAGAACCTAGGATTAGTTGGAGAAGGGAGCTACGGAATGGTGATGAAATGTAGGAATAAAGACAGCGGAAGAATTGTGGCTATCAAGAAATTCTTAGAAAGTGACGATGACAAAATGGTTAAAAAAATTGCTATGAGAGAAATCAAGTTACTAAAGGTGAGTAAACACATATACTGAAAAAAATATGGTTTCTTGATTGAGTAATTTTACCAATTCCTCAGTAAAGGAAAGGGGTTAGGTCTGGTGTGAAAAACAATGTATATGAACTTTATGAACTTTGTATGTAAGCCAGTATAAAATAAAATAAGAAAATAAAATAAAAAAGTATATATAAGACATAATAAAAATATGATTTTCAATACCAAAAAATATTGAGTAATCTTACAGTATTCTTTTAAAAAATTTTACTTTATATTGATTTTATCCTTTATTCACATTGTGTTTCTCACAAGATTGAGTAATTTTGAAAGTATAGATGTCTTTGTCAGCTGTAAGAAAGAAGAATATTCTATATTCGTATGTCCCATAAAGTAAATATTATTTTCAGAGTATCTTGCTCTATCTTTCTGCCTGTCTATCTATGTTGGGAGTCACAAGAAAGACCATGCCTGTATTTCATATTTCCCTAGTAGGACTTGTGGAGCTCAAGGCACAGTTTTATTTGTGGCTATAATTTGCTATAATTTATTATAAGGCAAGGATGTAAAGTAAAGGAAAATTAGCAAAAAGAAGACGCCTAGATCCCCCTCCAGAGGAAACCTGACACAAACTTCTAAGAGCCTTATTCTAGTGGAGTCACATGAATGCACTTAGTTTCTTCAGCAGTTAACTGGAATGTGTACAAATGAAGCTTGTAGACATGAGAGACTCAGCGTCCTGTATTTTTTATTGGGAATTGATTGCTCAGTTCTGGCTTGCACCAAAGTTCCAGACTTGCAGAAGGGAAGCAAGTAAGTGTTCAGCATAAATCTCATTGTTTGCATAGTGAACCACTCAGATCAGCTCTGGGAAAGAGGAGAAGTCTATTAAAATCCAGGTTCCACATTATAAACAGGCCTTTCTAAGGACAGCAGTCTCAGGCCTGTCACGGCAACTGTCTTCTCTTTCTCATAAGTCTCACCAGAAGTTTATCAATTTTATTTATTTTTAAGAAGTGCTGGTGGCATCCTGCATAATTTATTAGGCTGCTGTTAGGTTCAAATCCACCACTGCTCCAGGGGAGAAAGATGGGCATCTTGTCTCATCTTATTAGTCTGGGAAACATGATGGACAGTCTATAAGACTCCAAACTGACTTGAGGGTGGTGGATTTGTTTTTTGGTTGGGTTTTGTCCCCCCCCCCTTTTTGGTATTTATCTTTAGAAAGAACTGATGGTTTTGTTCATTTTCTTTATTGTGTATTTGTTTTCTGTTTAATTAAATGCTTGTTCATTATTACTTCAATCTTATTGCTTGCTTCAGAAGGTAGCTATGCCACTAGCATGGCTTGCCTTCTGCTTACTTAGGGTGGATTTAGTTTGCTGTTCTTTTTATCCTAATTTTAGCAGTTTGTGTGGGTCTAAGAATTTGCCCATTTTATTTAGCTTGTCCAAGTTAGTTGGCTTTCACATGTTCATAGTATTCTCTTATCAGCCTTTAAATCTTTCCACTGTGATTTTCTTTTGGGGGTTAATCTAATGAAGGCTATCAATTTTTAAAATTACTTCAAAGAATCAGCTTTAAATATGGACATTTGCTCAGTTTATTTTTGACTTGCTCTCTGCTCTTATTTTTTACTTTTTAAATTTCTTTTGCTAGTTTGGGGGTTAGATGATTCTTTTTCTAATACCCTAAGTTGCTGTAGCATGAGCTTATTGATTTGAGACCATCCTCTTTTATTTCTGTAGGCATTGTTGTTGTTAGGTGCCATCAAGTCAACTGTGACTCATAGTAACCCTATGAACAACAGATCTGAACCTTGCCCTGTCCTGCACCATCCTTACAATCTCTAATATGCTCAAGCCCATTCTTATCAGTCACTGTGTGATTCCATCTTGCTGAATCTTCCTTTCTTTTATGGACCCTCCACCTTTCCTAGCATGATGTCTTTTTCCAAGGACTGCCCCATCCTGACAATGTGCCCAAAGTATTTGAGACAGTTTCACAACCTTACCTCTAAAAAGCATGCATCCTGGTTGCACTTGCTCCAAACTGGATTTGTTTGTTCTTTTGGCATTTAGTTCAAAGGCATTAATTCTTCTGTCATCCTTACTCATTCTACAACTTTCAGATGCATTGGAACTAATGGAAAAGACCATGGCTTAAATCAAGCACTTCTATCTTTAAACTGATATCATGCATATTAGCACTTTGGAGAGATCCTTAGCAGCAGATTTTCCAGTGCACTGTGTAATTTGATTTCTTAACTGCTTGCTTGGCTTGACAGTCAACACTCTTGGCACCAGCAGTCTGAAATAAAAAGATAAATTACACTGGGAAAATATACTGTCAGGGACCTCTCCAGAGTACTGAGAAGCAATGATGTCAGTCTAGAGACTAAGGTGTGCCTGACCTAGGCCATGGTCTTTGCTGTTACTTGCTATGCATCAGAGAACTGGACAATGACTAAGGATGACAGAGGAATAATCAATGCCTTTGAATTGTAGTGCTGGAAGAGAGTCTTGATTATACCATGAACTGCCAAGAAAACAAATAGATCTGTCTTGGAGACAGTGAAACCAAGTTTGTCCTTAAAGAAACTGGACTAGATGAATAATGTATCAGGATTGGATGAAGATTCACCAATTCATAACTATGTTATGTAGTTAGCACGACCTGCTTGCTGAAAGTGAAGAGGACTTGAAACACTTGTAGAAGATCAAAGACTGAAGCATTCAATATCGATTACATATCAACATCAAGAAAACAAAAATCCTCACCACTGTAACAATAGGCAACATGATCATAGATGGAGAAAAGATTAAAATTGTCAACAATTTTATTTTACTTGGATCCATAATTAACATCCATGGTAATGTTGTTGTTGTTATGTGCCGTTGAGTTGCCTGTGACTTATAGTGACCCTGTGTTCAGCATCTCTGAAGCCTGTCCTGTCCTGAGCCAATTTTATCATCTCTGACACATCTATGCTCATTAACCCAGTCACTGAGTTAATACATTACATACAGGGTCTTCCTATATTACACTGTCCCTCTACCCTTCCAAACATGACGTTCATCTCCAAAGACTGGCCCCCTCCTTGTCCAAAGTATGTCGGACAGACCTTCAAAATCTTTACCTCCAAGAAGCAGCCTGGTTTCACCCTTTCTAAGACAGATGTCTTTGTTCTCTTAGCAGTACATGGTATATTCAGTACTCTAATCCAACATCACAACTCAAAGACATCAATTCTTCTTCTTTCATCCTTAATAATTGTCCAGCTCTCTGATGCATAGCAAGTTATTGTAAAGACTATGGCTTGGATTAGGCAACCTTGACTTCTAGATTGGCATCATTGTTCTTCAGTACTTTGGAGAGGTCCCTGCATATTTTCCCCATTCATCTTTTGATTTCCTGGCTGCTAGTACCGAGAGTGTTGATTGTGGAGCCAAGCAAACTGAAGCTGTTAACAGTCTCAATCTCTTCACTGTCAATCATGATGCTGCCAATTGGTCCAGTGGTGAGAATCTTTGTTCTCTTGATATTGAGCTTCAATCCATATTGAAGGCTTCAGTCCTTGACCTTCTGGAATGAATCCCTCAGGCCCTCTTCAGATTCTGCAAACAAGGTTGTTTGATGATTCTTCCTCCAGTCCTGATGCCACATTAGAGCTCGGCCTCCTGGATGAGCTGTTCCACATATAGATTGAAAAGGTATAGAGAGAGGATACATACTTGATGCACACCTTTCCTGTTTTTGAACCATTCAATATTTCCTTGCTCTGTTCTGATGACAGCCTCCTAGACCTACTATATATTTTGCATATGCACAATCAATTGTTCTTGGATTCCTAATTCTTCTCGGAGTTAGTCACAATTTGTTGTGGTTCACACAGTCAAATACCTTTGCATAATCAATGAAACACAGGTATACATTTCTCTGGTACTTTCTGCTTTCAGATAAGATCCATCTAAAAATGGTTATAAAGTCCCTAGTGCCATAGCCTCTTCTAAACCCAGCCTACACATCTTTCAGTTTTCTGTTGATGTGCTGTTCCAGTTGTTTTTGAATAATAATAATAATAAGTATATTGCTTACATGTGATATTATGTATATTCTGTTATTGCTGGATAGAATGTTCTGTATATTTCTACTGTATGTAATTGGTTTGTAGTTTTGTCTGCTTATCTTCTTTATTGATATTTTATCTGATTTTTCTGTCCATTACTGAATGTAGAGGGAACTCAGGAGCTCTGGAGCTCTTTCATTGAAAGTTGCACTGTTAACCCAAAGGCTGTCCTGTCTCCATACCTTTTCAGCCTGTATACAGAGCAGATTATCCGGGAGGCTGGGCTCTATGAGAAGAATGGTGGCTTCAGGATTGGTGGAAGATCTATTAACAATCTGCGTTATGCAGATGATACAACCCTGCTTGCTGAAACTGAGGAGAACCTCATGCACTAGCTGCAGAGGGTCAAGGACTGCAGCCTTCAGTATGGACTGAGGCTCAATGTCAGGAAGACAAAGATTCTCACCACTGGACCAATCAGTAGCATCAGGATGGATGGCGAAGATATTGAGAATGTTCACAGCTTCAGTTTG